GAGACCATCAACAGACTTTTAATGAGTCTCAGGCTGCATTTCTGCTCTTGCAGGGCTGCTAAAACATGGTCTTGCCCAGGGGGACACTCAAGAGCCAATACAGCCACTTAGAGAAAGAAGTTTGTGGGACCAGTGGAGCAAAGTATGGAAAACCCAGTGCTTAAAAACCCCACTGTGTATTCAGAGAACAGCCTGAAGGAGTTGGCAATGACACAGCACAGGAAAATCAGGCTTTCAAAAGGGAACACTGTGTGTATGCTGGAGCTGGTGAGCTGGAGCCTCCGTAGAGGGGTCTGTCATTGTGAAGCTTTGTGCAGGGGTTGTGAGGGCAGAGGTAGAAATACCAACTCATAAGTAGTTCCAGAAGGGCTACATTATTCTCACATGGCATATCAGTGAACGGCACTTAACTGTGGACAGGTATGTGCACAGAAATACAAGTTTGTGTAATCACATTGCAGCCAAAGAACTCAGGTGTTATGGCATTAGAAGAAACAGATTCAGTCCAGCAACACTGTATGTGAGATAAAGTACTTGTGGGCCACATCAGTGCTTTACAGCACTCCTCTGGTGAAAACTTTAGCTCATAGCAAAAGATATGGTTGACATAAACGTGATTCTATGACTTTAAGGCCCTAACTTTTAGTTTTTCTACTAATTTTAAATGGCTCTTACATTGTGTTTAATCTCACTGTATCTCGCTGGTTTGTGGGGCTGTGTGGTGCTGTTCAGTTTGTGCATGTTTGGAACCAGGGAAAGCATGAGGAAGATTCCCCAGCACAGAGCTGTAGATGAGTCTTGAGGTTCTCTTTCCTCCTGACTACCACAAACACTTCAGCACCTTCATTTGGCTTTCCAGATACGGAGACATTATTGCAATTCGTGTTGTACATTTGTTGATGTACAACAACGTTGTACAGCAAACGTTGTACATTTGCTTACAGCCTAAACAAAAAGTCCCATGCATTCCTTTTTTAGAGCCCAAACCATACAAGTGGCTGGTAGCTTGGTTGACACTCTGGATCCATGAGGTAAATCATAGAATCCCAGCCTGGTTTGGGTTGGAAGAGACCTTAAAGCTCCTCCAGCTCCAACCCCTGCCACGGGCAGGGACCCCTTCCACTAGAGCAGCTTGCTCCAAGCCCCTGTGTCCAACCTGGCCTTGAACACTGCCAGGGATGGGGCAGCCACAGCTTCTCTGGGCACCCTGTGCCAGTGCCTCAGCACCCTCACAGCAAAGAGCTTCTGCCTAATACCTAACATGAGCTTCCTTGTTTAAGTCAGCTCACAGACGATGCTGCATCAGCCACAGCTACAATCAGACCCTTTCTCACAAAGTGGCCATGTAAAGCTCGTCTGTCTAGACAGCAAAATGCCTTGAATCTCAGTAAACTATACTAGAATTCCCAGAAAAAAAGTCTGAATCATTTTCCTGCTCTTTTATGAATTCAGATATCATTCCTATTTTAATTCACCTATTCCCACCTAATGCTTAATTAAGGCAGGTATTCTGGGGTAGCTGGTTTTAATTTCCTTCTAGCTGTGCTTCAATTTCTGTTGTTGCTTCACTGCTGATTTTACTTTCGCAATTGATTGGGAAGGTTTAGGCTTCCTTTAATGTTAGTCTTTAAATACTCGCTCGCAACAGGGACCCTCAAATGCTTATTATATTGGACTACATGATGAGAAACAGTCTGCAGTGCCAGATCTGGTGGGTGATCTCCTCCTGCTGTATATATCTCCACACAGGCACAGATGCTTTCAGTGGTTTTGCTACTTGTATTACATTACCATTGTTATAATTAGTTCCTTCTTTACAAATCTCCCAGATAGCACAGGAGCCACACAAAGTAGCCATCAAGAAAAGATTGTTTCCTTGATAGCTGTATCAAATGGCTCTGTCTCTCTGGCACAGTAAGCTACTGAGCAGTGCCACCACTCAGGCAGCTCTTTTTTCCCTGTGAATATGGAGTAGGAATGAATTGAGGCACATGGAGCTGTATTATTAACCTGCCGTGTCATCATAGTCCAGTGATTACCAGGTCCCTGTCAGCAAATTCAGTGTGCAACATGCTGACTAAAATACAAATGGGGAAGTATAACTCAAGCAACCCAAGGAAAGTTACCTTGGAAATAGTTAAAAAACAAAGGAAAATAAGAATGGGTGCTGCGATTAAGGTAACGTTGTTAACTTGTGATAGTATGGCATATTTTTCAGCTTCTCTTCATCAAAATGACATCTACTGTAATTTCATCAGGGACTGTAGTGATACATCAAGGGGAAATGGGTTTAAGTAACAGGAGAAGTTCAGGTTAGATATAAGAAGAAGTTCTTCCCTGTGAGGGTGCTGAGGCGCTGGCACAGGGTGCCCAGAGAAGCTGTGGCTGCCCCATCCCTGGCAGTGTTCAAGGCCAGGCTGGACAAAGCCTTGGATGACATGGTCTGGTGTGAGTTGTCCCTGCCCATGGCAGGGCATTAGAACTGGATGAGCTTTACGGTCCTTTCCAACCCAAACCATTCTATGGTTCCATGACTATTATGAATAGTCACAACAAACCTGATTGAAGAAGCAAATGAAATGCACAGCGATAGTTCTTTTCCTATCAAACCACTTGGTTTAACAGCATGTATCTAAGCCACCCTCAGTTCAGGGTCAGCACTGCCCCAGTCCTTAAAAAGCACCATCAAGGGCTCATGGCCTTTCCCCCAGGGGGATGAATGGGACTTAAGCAGTGCTGAGCACCAGTCAGTGGTGTCCCAGCTCAAGGCCAAGGGTTCATCCTGGTTTGCAGTGGTTCAGTGAGGGAAAGGTGTATTAGGCCATGAAGCTGCAATACTTGGCAGTAAAACAGGGAAAAAAAAAACATTGGTATAGAGAACACATTCTCAAACCTTGGTTGAATAGCTTCAATTTTTAACAGAACTTGGGCTAGGGAAAGCAAGACATTTATTAAGAATTGTTGTCTTGGCTTTGTTTTTAGCCTTTTCCCTTCATTGTGGTGTCTCAAATGGCAAACTCAAAGGCAAATATGTCATTTTATATTAAACCCTTGTTCAGCCAATGGTCCAGACTCTTCCCTGGGGTGACTTTCATAGCTTTATGCCAGGAACAAATTTGATTAGTCTCAAGGAAGGATAAAAATCCCCCAAGGTCTGAGGCCTGTTACCTCAGTGTTATACTCATTTGCAACTCCTTCAAGGTCTCTCCTTCCTTAACGGTGCTTTGGAAGGTTCAGACCTGGGATGAAGATGACAGCTCCCTGCTCTGAGAAGTTCTTTTTGTCTTGTGGATGGTTTTTTCACCACGTGGAAGTTAAGAGCACCGTTTCCCCTTTAGTCTCCACAGCACTGTATGGATATGAGCGTTCCCCTTTCTTTAGTTTGAAAATGGGTTAGCTTTGACATCTGAACCTGAATTACGCCAACGGGTAACGATTCAGCAATCTTGCTACTAACGCCCACATCATTCACACCAGTGTCAATAGTATCTCCACAACTTCCCCTTCAGAAGGGGAAGAAATGTCCTGATGCAGTAAAATCCCAGTAGGCTCACCACTAAACCCTTGCAGACTTTAACAGCCAAAAGGGAGCTGTCTTGCTGTGTTTCTTGCATGCTTTGTGTTCCCAAACCTGACTGCAGCAAAAATGTGGCACTTGACCTTTTGCTGTTCCACGCCTCTATCTGTAAAGCTGCCAGGTTGTCTGGAGAGGAACCCAGGAAGCTTCTTGTGTTTGTCAGAGATGCAGCCAGGCTGGGAGATGCAGCACTGGAATATTTATGAATACTTGAGAATATTCTCATCCGAGTCTGGGTTCTTTTCCATTCCCATCATCAACTGAGCAGAGCCTGGAGATAGCGGTTTGTAGTGAAGCTGTTGTTAGAAAACAGAGTATGTAAGCAGTAGGGGAGAAGTGTAAAGCAAAAGGGTTTGTTTGATGCTTGTGAAATACTGGAATAAATTGCAGTGCATTGTGTCTGCGTGCGTAGGAAGATACAAATAGTGCAGTCACACCAGGCAGTCCTCCTTGTGATTCTGAGGGGGGACAAGGATGGGAGCAAGGGGGAGGTACTTCAGGCTCATCACCAAAGACCTGCTCTCTTCCTGCTAAACCAAATGTCAGTCTGGATGTATGAGAACACTGAAGGGGAACTGCAGAACATCTTAATTTCTCAAATTAATCTCCTTAAGATTTAATTAGTGAGTGCCTTGCTGCAAGTGAAGAGGATTGCCTACCTTGCAGCTGAACCCAAGTAAGGAAGCAGAGCATCAGTGCAAGTAGGAAGGCGCTTACCTCACAGCTGAGGCTTTGCTAAATACACCAAAGGGACCCAGGAGCTTGCTCTTCAGGGTCATTAAAGAGTTCAGCCCCTATCAGGAATGAATCCAGTGGTTGCAAATTCCTGTCCCAGTTCCTACAGGGATGTAGGTAGAGTAAGTCTGATCCGTAACAAGAATCATGGAACTACAGACCCCCCCTAGCTTGGTACTTGTGTCATGCTGACAGACATCTCTGTAGCCTGGTAAAGACACATAAAGACTATACAGCTCTCTCTGTGATTCACTGTTCTTGCAACTAGAAAGTTTTCCCTAATATCTCCCTTGGATTTCCTTTTCTGCAGTTTCAGGCTCTTACTTTGGTAGTCTTTTCCTTTAGCTGAAACGTGATGAAGACAGTGAGGAATTAGCATCTAAGTTACAGAGTAAAATGCTTTAAACTCTTTCAGGTGTGTAATGCATGCAGGGAAAAGGAACTATTTAAAGCCAGATAAGCTGTTATTTAAATGATTTCAGGAAAATCCTTGGGTTTTGTGAAGAATGAAAGCTCCAGCACAGTTAAATACAAGGGCTGGTGAACACTGCAAGAGCAAGCATCACTTACTGTAAATATTATAGCTTCTAACAGCATGAGATTGTTTGTGTCTTTCATCCCTGCAGATGCACTTTAACTTATTCCATGTTAAAAGGTCAAATTTGCTTCTTTGTTTGCTATTATGTAGATCCTCGCAGTTCTTTTGCAAATGCAACCACCTAAATAATTCATGAGAGCAGAGACACCAGCTGTCAGTGCCACATCCAGGTAAGTCCTAATTCATGACAGCCTTCCCTTTCTTGAAGACCACAAAGGACGTAGCTGTGCAGTGACTATGCCAAGTTGTGGTGTGTTGCTGGAGGCTTCTTTGACTCTCGGGGTAAATCTGGCAGTTGAAGACAAGAATGGAATAGGCAGAGAAAAAGTATTGATCAAAGGGAATTTTCCCCTTGACATAACCTGGAAAATGGACCTTAGGTGCTAACTTGGGATCAAACCAGGCAGAAATTACACTGGAAGAAAATATTGACAATATATCTAAAAATAGGAAGACTGTGCCTGTTGTACGAGCAAGTTTGGGGATGTCAGGCATAGCAAAAATCAATGCTGTAATAAGAGGTAGAGTGATGGCATATCAGAAGAGGAGCTGTTACTCGCTGCCTCATGTGGAACCTGACAGCATGTATTGGAGTGTCAACTGGTCCTGAAGTTACAGACATTTGTATCTGAAATGACTGTCACTTTGGAGGAAGAGCTTGGCTTCCTCCTCAGCCAGGATGTAAAGGCACCTGGGATTCACTTGTCCCTAGCACTGCTTTATCTTTGGAGATGCTGTTGTGGCAGAGGGGATTTGCTGGAAATCACTCTTGAAAGCGATGAGCTGCCTGGAGCTGCCTGCTCAAGAGTTTTGGACCCGTCTCCTCGAGCACAATCCAGTGATAGAAATCTGCAAAATGGGAAATTCTGGAGGTCAGTGACAGTATTTGACTCTTTACAGGAGGGCCTGCATGCTCTTCAGCTGGGAGATCCTAACACGCTGAAAGACATCGTATTGCTGGATGAGCTAACTGCCTGACTGGGGCTTATCAGTCTGTCTTTGATTTCTTCCTCTTCTCTCCAGTCTGTGCAGGTCTAACAATAAGGGAATCTGGAACAGCGGTAGGAACAATGTAAACTATTTTTTACCTCCTCTGAATAACAGGGAAAAAGCAATTTCCAAGTGACAGGAGTGATCAGCACAGTTTGATTGCAAACTTAGAGCAGCTGTTACATTAGCTGGGGTTTGCATGCCTCGTGTTTATTTGCATACAGATTTGACAATGTAATTGTCTACTGACGGGAAGAACATTGAAAGGAAATAAGGAAATAAGATAACATTCCTACAGTCTGCTTCTGTATCACAGCCAGAATTTAGAATCTACCATTCTGCAGCAGAAGTTGAGGTTTTTATTCTACCAAGTGCTACTTGGTCAGTTAGAAGCCTTGGAGCCAGTTTGATTCAGATTTACTGGGGCCTACAAGGATACTGGAGAGGGACTCTCCATCATGGACTGTAGTGACAGGACAAGGGGTGATGGGTTCAGACTGAAACAGGGGAAGTTCAGGTTAGATATAAGGCAGAAGCTCTTCCCTGTGAGGGTGCTGAGGCGCTGGCACAGGGTGCCCAGAGAAGCTGTGGCTGCCCCATCCCTGGCAGTGTTCAAGGCCAGGTTGGACACAGGGGCTTGGAGCAAGCTGCTCCAGTGGAAGGTGTCCCTGCCTGTGGCAGGGGTTGGAGCTGGAGGAGCTTTAAGGTCCCTTCCAACACAAACCAGGCTGGGATTCTATGATTCTCTCTTGTAATGTAGACCCAAAGTAAACTTGTGGGACAGAGTGAAGGCCAGATCACCTGCAATCCAGCATTTAACAACACTTCACATTTAACAATATGCTTTACATAATAAAAGGTAATCTCCAAGTAAATGAATGTAAGGCATCTGTTGTTAATGTGTTTTATTTAGAAGAGTGTTCCTACTTCTCACATTGCACTAGATGACCCATTCTGCATTGGACGAAACTCAAAACCAGGCAGCGCTTTGACTTTAAGATGCAGCCCAACTCTGCCAGCACATTTTAATACTGCCTGCAGTGGAATCAGGACTCACGGCAATCACGACTGCGTTTGAAAGATTTCCTCTCCTTGTCTGCCCTACTTTTCTGTCTCATCATAATTTAAAAGCCTCAGCATCAGGCTGATTTTGGAGACATTCAGCAGCGAAGGAACTGGGTTTGATAGGAAAATGGGCTGGGGAGAGGAAGAAGATGACTGTTTCTCTTGAAACTCTGTCCTGAGTGATGTTTTCTGTTAGAATCAAGGTCAGGGTCAGCTGGTGGGAGTGTGCTACAATTAAAGTAGTGAGAACCACATTTAAAGATGAAGGGGATGCTTTGAACGTGTCTCTTATTGAAAACCACTGACCCATCTGTTCCTTGGCTAACACCCTGACAAGCATTTTGGCCAGTGACATGACAGAGCTGCTAATATGAATCAGCAGAATCTCTGTAGGCAGACAGAGTATTGGAAATGGTTTCTTTTCCTGTGTTTCCAATTCATTTTAAATACCACTCCCATCACACCAGAGACATCAAACAAATGACAGGCAGGAGATGAAAAGAAAAAGTAAAGCCAGACTATGAGTAAGTGTTAATTAAACCAGGATTTGGAATAATCATAGTTCTCCTTTAATATCTGTTGCATATTTAAGACCCATTTTGAGTTGATTTACATAGCTGTTTGTAATGATTTCTAGCAGATATTTCACTGTGCTAGTGTCTGAAATCTGTGATTCTTGTCACTGACTGCACTGCTGCCTTTGATACTCTGAACTCACGTTAACTTGACGTTAACACACGTGTGCTGAAAACGATGGCTTATGACTTGGAAATCAGCGTGTTACACGATACCTGTCTGCTGACAGTCCTGGGAATGAAAGTAACTCCTATGCTCAAAAAGCCACGTTTCCTTTCCTTTGAATTAGCAGTTCCTGTAAGTTGACAGCCTCAACTTTTAGGATAAAGAAACCACATTAATATTTATAGTATTGCTCAGGGGAAAAAGATATAATTGGTTGCTGAGTAGAATTTGATCCCAAATTGGTATGTCCTGTATGTTTGTGTGTGTTAAACATACAAATGTATGTTCATGTGTACATATAGATATGTGGAGATACAGCTGTAGATATTCTGGACTGCTTTGTATGTATAGATATATGGGAATGTGTGCGTTTGCCTGAATACACATACCTCCGGGATGCATTCCTATTTATCATCTAAATATTTAATAGAGTTATGCAACTCTACGTAAGTGTAGAAGCCTCCTTTGATCTGAGGTAGTTGCTGCCAGTTGTTGTGATTTATTTTAGAAGGTTTGTGCATATCAAGCTGTGGTAACTCCAGCTTGTTTTTGTTTCATTAGAATGTTTAAGCCCTCAAGATCTGTTAAGCTGGTGTTTTGTTTTGGTTTTCAGGAACTAAATCCCCCTTGAAAGAGCTAATTTAGCCACTGAAGTGGATCATCAGACAGAGCATTAAGACCATAAGTGGTTATAGCAAACAATAATGTCAAAATCTAGTCACCAGTTTCCCTTATGATTTGTCCTGCAGCTTCTGCACAACTTCATCTCACTCGACGCAGCCTGTGAAGGACCAGGTTTGCTTCTTCGCTGGCTCCACTGTGGCAGCAGCAGTGATGGGGAAGCCAAGATCATCATCATCCACCAGTGACTCCACGCTGGAAGGTGCTGCCTGGAGTTTCCCAGCGAGTGGCTTCTGGTGAGACTTACTCCCCCACCATCAGCACTTCAAGTTGAGAAGGCAAATTACAGTGGTGATAAAGTGTGTTTTCTATAGTTCTTCAGTTTTACAGCTAGTGCTGTGGTTTAACAGCATGGTGGGAGCTAGGGTATAAATATTGGCTTTTTCTTCCCAGAACACATGTACTTTGATTGATAGACTGATTTATTTTAATAGGATTAGGGTTTGATGTATTCTTTTTAAAAGAAGTGTACTGATGGAACGATTGACTTTCTCCCGTGTAGGGAAGCCTCACAGCACCAGGTCTGGGTTGAACAATGCTCCAATGAGCAGCCTCCCACCATGGGCATGTCTGGAGTGAAAAGCTCTACCTAGGTAGGAAAAACCCCTAAAACCCTTACCAAGGTTCAAAAAGGAAGGGAGGCATTAGTACAGCATTCTCATTTTACACGGAGTTTAGCCAGGACAGGAGGAGGAAGCAGCCAGACAAATATGAAACACTGTAAGAGCATTTCCTAATCAAAAAATCTAGGATTTGGGAATAAAATAATGTAAGTCTTCACCAAAAAAATTCTGCCAAGCAGCTCCAAAGCATGTGTTGGGTGAAGTTAGCAGGAATAATGCTCTTAGTGCTGGGAAGACTTGAACTGAAGCATGTGAGGTTCTTGACAGGGGAATTTCTGAGGGTACTTACAAACCCATCTTAATAGTATCATTTCTGTTTGTGTATTGCTTGGGAAATTGGTGATACCTGAAACATTACAATGCCTCTTTTCTTGCAGAATAGCAGCATTGCACAGAATGAGGTAAGGCCAGAAAAACAAGTTAATGATCTTCAAAGCTGCAGATTATCACATTCACTGCTACCTACCTGGGGTGGCTGAACCCAAGAGTCAAGGTCAGAGATTTTAATTAATATTAGAAACATTAAACTGCACAAATAACTTATTCTGTAACACAAACTCAGTGCGCTGCACCTGAATGACAGGAACCGGGGGCATGAATCCAGTGGGGGTTCTCTCTTCATTAAACAAGCCAGCCACTGGTGGTGGTGGTGGTGGTGAATGCGGAACTCCCAGGCACAGATCCATAAGAACCCACTGGTTACTTCCATCCTGATTTTCTCAGTCTAAATGTTAAAAGACCGCTGTGTTTCCAACATACCTGAGATTGTCTTGGTCTTGTTTGTGCAGGTGAAAGGACAGTTTTGGCCCCTTCTCACCTACTCTGGGGTCCTGCTTTGGGCTCTAGTGCAGGCCATTTTTATTATCAAAGGAAATGAAAACACGTTTATTTAGCAAACTGTGGCAGAGAACAGGCTCTCTGTTTCCTGGTCTCTGAAACACAAATTTGACCAGGATCCATGTGTCCCTTCTCGTTGCCTTTACCCAGGGATGAGTGACACTAAGGTAAATGCAAGGTAAGTGAAGGTAAATTTAACGCATCCCAGATACCAGCTGTCTCCTGCTTCTGCAGCACACTGGAAATTCGTATCCGGCTAAATTTATCTATTTGTATAGAAGAAAACAGAAATTGTGATCTCAGCCTCAGCCCAAAAATACTGTCTTGGTTTTTTCCTTAGAAAGCCCTGCATGTGACTGAACTGAGGCTATTTTCCACTCCCTTTTCTGTAAGCCTTCTTCTAGAGATGCCTCTTAAACGGATGAAGGTCCTCCAATGTAATGACTGCCTTGCTGAAAAGGAAGACTTTCTCCTATTACTTGTGATGGGGATTCAGTTGTCACTCACGAATCACTGTCAGTGCAGTCTTCCCTCTGTGGAGCCCACTTCAGGAGTGTGGCCCTGCTTTCCTTGAAGGATCTAGAGTTTCATTATATTGTTGCAGGCAATTTTTCCTGCCCTTCAGTGCAGGCTTAACTGGATGTGCAAAATGTAAGTGTAATTACAGCTGTGGAGGAAGCTCTGCACAAATAGTTTGGCTATTTAGGGCCATAATTATCCAGACTGCATTCACAGAAATAGTAGCTCTATATACAAATCAGTCCAAATGCTTTCTAAATAGCTTCTTCTAGTCCTCCTAACCTTCTGCATTATAGAGCCACAATGAAAAACACCTTAAATGGCATCCATGGATGCAGCTTGCCTTGCTGTGCAGGAAACAGCAGTAGTGCAGTCTTCTGAGACACACAAAAAAGACCAAAGCCTTTTGTGTGTGAAGACCTGAACTTGGAGCAAGTCCTCCGTGACCACAGGAGGCCCCAGTTCGGCTGCAGGTGTGGGGAGGTGGCACAGCACCAGCCAGGTCTGTGGGGAGAGCAGTGGGGTGGGTGTACCTGTGGACACAGGCAAAGGAAGCACTTGGATCCATTCAGTTTTCCTGAACGGATGGAAATGGCAGCTCAGGGTAAGGCACGGTCCACTTCCCTGACGTGAGACATGTCTTGAAATCTTAATTACATCTTGTACACATACACTGAACACTCACCAAAATCAGACTGTTTTCAAAGTCACACCTCAGTATCTCTTTGATAGCACTAGACCAGAGAATAGAATTGAAACAGAGTTTCTACCACAGGACCATTTAAATGGCTTGTCCAGCTCCTTTCCATAAAGCAGCTCACCCCAAACCTAAGGATTATTTTAAAGAGCAAAAAAGATCCAAGAAATTTCAGAATAAATATTGAACACAGTCTGACAGAGCAGACATGAGCTTATCTATGGAAAGCCACAGATGTCCTCCTGCCTCTGCCAACTCTCCCCCAGACATGGATGGAGCCAGTGCTTAATGCAAGGATTTTAATGGCAAAAGAAAACTCTGCAAGGCTTTGGGATGTGATTATGAGACTGGGTTTTGTGACTGTTGTTGGCTGGGGGAAGAGGGGCTGGAAATGACTCTGAAGATAGAATAAAACAAAGGAGACATTAAAAGAAGATGCAAAATAGATGGGGGTGGGAGGTAAAAAAGATTCTTAAAGGAAAAGATTGATCAGAAGGGGGCTGGGGGTGTATGGCTGCAGGTGGGAATATGGGCACACCTCTGTGTTGTACTGTTAAATGACAGACCGGCTTTTAAGTCCATGGACGGAAAACTTAAGCTTGGAAGAGGACATTTTGGAGCAGAGCAGTTTCTTCCTTGGTAGTGTTTTACCTCCAACTATGTGTAAAAATGGTGATAAAGAAGTTAAGAGTTGTCATGCAATCTGCTGCTCTGAAATCCTTACTTATTTGCACTGACAGATTGATGGAGCTCCTGTCGGGCTTTATGCAAGAAAGCACACACCATCACAGGAGCTGTCTTGTGTTTGTGTGAACCTTAGCTGTGTTATCAAACAGCAAGCACTAAAAACAGGAGGGAAAGCACACTCCTGACTGGAAGGTTCATCAGTTAAATCACAGTGGAGTGACTACGACTTGAATCTGTCTGGTTTTCACTGTTTATTTTCTGTGGGCCTTATTCTGATGTGAATTAGCTGATTCCAGCAGCCAGATTTATAATAAGAACAGTGCAATTAGGCGAAGGCCTCTGATAGCCACAGAAGTGTTAAAGCCGTCAGAGAAAGACTAAATGATCCATTATGTTTTGGCAACTGCAAGCTCATTTCCTACCTGCTGTTCATTTTGTGGTCATTATGAACCGATTATTCCAGATAATGTGGGGAACAGTCCATTTATGAGAATCCATCAAGAAGTCATTATTCCACTAGAAGCTGTGTACTGGGTTTTAAGCAGAATTGGAGGGATGGATTCACAAACACCTTGCTTTCTTGAGCCTCTTTTTTTGAGGGGGAGGGAAGAAGGGGCTGGCGGGCTGGCACCACACTCTCCAGTCTTGGCTGACCAGTTGTCTTCTCTAAGACACAACAAATGATGGTGAATATACAGCATTTTATACTTACCCCAGGCACAGGTTACAGCAGTGAGGTCAGGAGCCTGAAAGCACCGACACCGGAGAAGCAGCTCAGTTCCTTGACTGCTTGGGCAGTCACAGGTGAGATAGATATATACATTTATCTCTCTATAACATCTCTTATCTAGCATCACATCTATCTGTTCCTAAAATATGCCCCACAGCCTTACACATGGCAGATACCCATTGTCAGTGCTGCATGCTGGGGGCCTAGCTCTGAAGAGCAGCTGGAGGAAAGCTGACAAGTCTGAATTGCTCAGAAGGAAGGTGAAACCATGCTGCTCCAGCTTGGCAAGATTCAGCTGGGTGAGCTGGATTGCCATCTAAATGACAAGGTCACTGGGGAACTAATGCTGCAGTAGTTCTGCTGCTCTGCTATGCTGTAATGCTTTTTGTGACTTGTTGGTTTCTTGTGATCATGAGGGTCAATCTCATGAGACACTATCAGGGAGCAATGTGTGAGAAGTGGCTGGTCATGTGTATGGGGTGCATGGGACAGAATGTGGGCATCCCCCCCTGCTTCCCAGCCAGATTCCCCCTCAAGAGTCTGGATTCCACTTCTTATCACTGCTTATTTATTTCACAAGCAAGTTACCAACCAAACTGTTCCAGATCCATTTTCTTTCTAGCAAGCTGTAACTCTCATTGACTTTCCCTCTGGAGTCCAGTTGATTTCTGGAAGTCAAAATATCTCCGGTAACATGGAGGATATCGGTTATGTGGGGGCACTGCGTCATTTGTTAGCAGTGGCTCCTGTGTGTGGAGTTGACCATTAAAACCTGTGGTTCCAGGCTGAGGTGACAGTACATACAAAGCAGCGATAGTTACCTTTGCCTCATCTCTTCAGCACAGCCAAAGAACAAGTGAAGTAGGAAATGTTTGCCTCCGAGCAAAAGCAGACTGAAAGGAGCGTTACGTAAAAAGCTCTGTGGATGAAGGCTCCCACTCCTGTTAGCAGCTGCTTGAAGGCAGCTCAGCACAGTGCTCTCACAGCCACAGCAAATCTCCTCATTATTGCTGGAGCCCTGCGAGGCCCCTGCCAGAGGTCAGCTGCAGCTCCTCTGCGCTGAGCTGTAAGCACAGCAAGTGCTTATTTTTACTCTGGTGTCCTCACAGAGGGGATAAACAAGTGAGAAAGCAAAGAACCCGCACACTGGGCTTTAGTTCACCCAGGAGAGCTCCTGCTAAAGCCGTGCAGCTGCCCATGGGGAGTAAACCAGAGTGGTGGATGGGAGAAAGGGCAAAAGCCTGTGCTGGTTCACTGAACCCGGAGACGTGCTTGTGTAAAACCAGTTGAGGGTCCCAGGTTTGTCCTCTCTGCTCTCACATTTGGTTTTTTCATGCTGTTTTCTTCCTTGCTCTGAGGCTTTAACTTGAAGGAGCTGCTGCAGTGTGCTTTTTTACCCACATCCATTGCTTTCCAGGGCCAATTCTCCAAACATCCCCCTTGCATGCTTTCAGCAAAGACTGAGTTGGGCCCAGGCTGAATCTGGGGCCTGCCTGCTCTCCAGTGAGTGCATGTACTGAATAATTACTGACCTTTTTGTCCCTATACCTCGATACAGGGATGACTACACCGGGTCACCTCCTGGAGGGACTCCTCTCTGAACTACACTTACAACATGACCAGCATAAATGATGGCAGGCCTTTGGGGGCTTTCATCAGTACAAAGAGGCACTGCAGACACCTTCCTGATGGTAAATCACAACATGCAGTAACTCAGTCTCTCTCTGCCTCTGGTACTGAAAGCTCAGTGTGCTGGGGTTGGTTTTTAGGTTGGTTTGGGTTTTTTAGGCTACTGCTTCATGACTCTTCTCTTTCACAGCCTGAGAAGCCAGCTTGTGCCCTGAGGCAGAGGTGAAGGGAGCAAAGCAGCTGACCTCTGGATGTGTGCAAGGTAGGAGGGGTTTTGAGACCTTGGGGTTTGACTGGACATGGTTAGGGGTCTGCTTCATGCCAGGGCAAACCCTGAGTAAAATGACCACAGCATAAAGCCTCTGTAGAGCCACATAGGAAACCTTTTCTCTACAGCATTCCACTGCGCAGCATAATCGTAATGATACTGAGAACAGGATTGTGCTGCCTGCTGTCCTGGGAGAAAGGCTACAGCCAGGCCGAGACTAAACGAAGACAAAAAATCCAGTGATGAATGCAAGTCTTCCCAGAAATGTTTTCTGGGAAAAGGCAGCAGCTCAGGTACACACCACAGCAAAGAGCCCCTCCAGGGCAATGCATAACCCTGACAGCTTTGGTGTGCTTATGGGCACAGGGACTGATGTGAGGCCCTTGAAGTCAGGGTTAGTGTGTTTATCCACATGCTGACTCAGAAAGTACAACTCTCAGCACCTGGAACAGGGTTTCCTCATGCATTTTTTTCTCTTTCTAGTACATTGGCTCTTCTAACAGAAGAAAAGCAGGTGAACCCACAGGCTCTCTTCTGCTTCTAGCAAAGGTGTTTTCTGAATTCCTTTATATTGGGCACTTTAAACTGGACCTTGCATCAGGTCCTGGAAAGTTTGTGTTCAAAGTGATCTCCCCAGTTCACACCAAGTTACTGTGGGTAGCTCAGATGGAATGAGGATGATCAGGGGCTGGAGCACCTCCTGTATGAAGACAGGCTGAGGAAGTTGGGGCTGTTCAGCCTGGAGAAGAGAAGCTGCGTGGAGACCTCAGAGCAGCTTCCAGTGTCTGAAGGGGGGCTATAAGGATGCTGGGGAGGGACTCTTCATTAGGGACTGGAGTGATAGGACAAGGGGTAACGGGTTAAAACTTAAACAGGGGAAGTTTAGACTGGATATAAGGAGGAAATTCTTTCCTGTTAGGGTGGTGAGGCACTGGAATGGGTTGCCCAGGGAGGTTGTGAATGCTCCATCCCTGGCCCTGTTCAAGGCCTGGTTGGACAGAGCCTTGGGGGACATGGTTTAGTGTGAGGGGTCCCTGCCCATGGCAGGGGGCTTGGAATTGGATGATCTTAAGGTCCTTTCCAACTGTAACTATCTATGACTGTGGCTATGACTGTGGGGACATCTCACCATGGTGTGGCTTAGGCCAGGGACAGGGTGGGAGTCCATGGTGTGCCTGGGCAGGGCAGTTGAGGGTGAGAGTTTGCACACATGTGCTCAGGTAGAACAGAAATGCATACACAAACAAGACAGGAAACTAAACCTGGTTTTTAAGATGCTTCTCCTTTTAATAGGTACAGCACTTTACCATCGCAGTTTTCTCCATGAAAACTTTGTTTCCTGTGGGTATCAATTACCTGAGCTTGTAGAAAACCTCCCTGCTAAAAGCCAGGTGTTTAAAGGACACAGTTACTGCTGAAGAAATCCTACAGAACCTAAATAATGGGGTTGTGTGGATTAAGAGACCACATTTCATGAATAGTTCCAAATAAAGCAGATTTTGGTGCATTTTTTTACATTTTGTTTCAGAGTACCAGCAACTTCCATCTGCAGAAGCAGGTAAGGAAACAGAGGGTGGTGAGGGATGGATGTCACCAGTGCCCTGTGGTACATCCAGCACAAGGTTTATGGCACTTTGGAGCTGTGGGTGTGATCCAGGTCAGTAACAAAAACTTCCCAAAGCTCTTACAGTCACAAGGTGCTGGGGTGGCCACCTGAGTCCAGACATCAAAACCCTTCCCTTTTTAGGCCAACACAACAAAACCAGGGTGTTGGTGTCACCGGTACCTGCAAAACTAAAGCAGGCCTTTCTGGTCCTGGTGCGCAGTCTGTTGGGGTGTATACAAAGCGTTTCCCCTTTTAGGGGTGCAGGTTGATTTTGTGTCACTCTCCAGAAACACGAAGTGCAGCTGTTGCAGGGGCAAGGAGAGCAGCACAGCTTCCTGGGTGATCTTAACCCCATGATCTTGGCTGGAGCACTGGAGCTGATGCAACATCTGGAGAAAAACCACACTGACCTCAGGCCTCTCACTGCACAGACTGGCAGGGTCCCACCAGCTGGCTCCTACCAGCTGCCTGCCCTTTCCTTGCACGAGAAACCATCTTTCTTGCTACGAGGCAGACATCTGGATGGGCAGTGCACAGCTGTAGCCTGCAGCAAGGGCAGAAGCTGTCCAGAAATGTTTCAGGTTATCACTGCGGATGAGCAGAAGGGAACACCCACCCCGCATTGCAAAACTGAACTGGAAATGGGAGTGTTGGTTGTGCTGTGAGGTATTTTATACTGGGCCCCACATCACCTCTGTGTAAGTAACAACTGACAGGACAAGAGGAAACGGCCTCAAGCTGCACCAGGGCAGGTTTAGATGGAGCTGAGGAACAATTCCTGCCCCAGAGGGTGCTCAGGCATTGGAACAGGCTGCCCAGGGCAGGGCTGCAGTCACCGTCCCTGCAAGTGTTCACACCCCGTAGAGATGAGGCCTCAGTGCCATGGGTTAGTGGTGGCCTGGGCAGTGCTGGGGAATGGTTGGATTTGATGATCTTGCAGCTCTTTTCCAACCTAATTGGTTCTGTAAAGTTTAAACCTTTCCCAACCTCGTGATTCTATAACTGGTGGGTGCCCAGCTCACCTGGACACTGCAATGTGGGGAGAAGACACTGCTCTCAGGCTGCTGGGGCCTCATGGTGGGGATACCAGCATCTCCAGCTTGCAGAGATGAATGCACTGACCTGGTTACTCAGAGGTATTGTGTTAAGTAATCTCTGACTTTGGCCTTTGCTGTCAGGACCTCATACGCCAGTGTCTTTTTGTTTCAGGAAGAACGTTCCTCATAAATCAGGTCTCTCCTAAAGGACTCAGGAAAATACAATATTATCTCAATTAAACAAAAGTGTTTTCCTGCAGCTCTGTCACTCCAAATGGCACAGAATGACAGCTCAATGGGCGGCCTGTAATTCAGATGGGGCAGTCAAAAATGCTTTATCTAGATTAAAACCCTATTACTCCCACTAATGTAATTTTCAGTGTATGGCAGGGGACAAGCAGGAGAGAGGGTCTGCGTGTATGCTGCAATTAACTGTTACTGATTAATCACTCATGTTCTTCTCTGTCTGCATGAACAGTGTTGGGTATCTGATCCAAACAGCTCCATCCAGGGTCACTGGAATGCTGCACGGTGTGTTGATAAAATGCCTGTTTTTTTCCTCCCTGGCAAGCCAGGCTGGTACAAAGGAGCAGAAGGGAAGGATAAACACACAGAACATGGTCTCAGGGAGCAGGTGGGTGGGTAATTCACCACACAGATTGTAAAGCCCTGTGCCATTCTGCTGTCGTATTACAGTAATGGGAGATTTATGTGAGCGGGACTTGTGCTGTTTGCCAACAGCAGCCGTTGCCTCGATTGAGCCTGTTGCTGTCGGGCTGTCATCATTTAGGGTGCATTAGAGACACTGCGAGAGCAGCGATGTGGAGAGGGAAGTTAGGATGCTATTAGTGAGTTGCATATGAAATTAAATGGGAAATGAGCAAAAAGCCCATCTCACTGTAGCACAAAAGTTCTGTCTCTGCATGGAAATAAAATCCTTTCTCCATTTGCACTCTGTGTGCTAGCACGCTGCACAGCACCGGGTGGTGGTCCTCATGCATCCAGTGTGGGAGATGCTATTTACAGCATTTGGAAAGGCTGTTTAATTGCCCCGTGGGTGTCATAAGCTCTGTACTACCTCCCTCCCTCTCTCCCCCAGTGGAGAGACAGACAGCAGGAGCAGTGCAATAGTCTGCTGCTGACCTGTGCTACCACCCTGCTCCAGGACATTGCATTTGTATGTATTATAAATATAATGTATATTATGTAAGGATGGATGGAGGGACAAAAGGGTGAAGGAAGAATGAATGAAAGGACAGAAGGACAGACCTATGAATGGATGGATAGATGGGAGGATGGAAGGAAGGACAACCAGCAAAAGGCAGGATGGACAGAAGAGAGGATGGATGGATGGATGGAGGGAGGGACAGAAGGATGAAGGAAGGATGGAAGGAAAGGTGGGATGAAGGAAAAGATGGGATGAAGGAAAGATGGATGAAGGGATGGGCAGGACAGAAGGAAGGTAGAAGGGCAGGGTGGCTGGAAAGAAGGATGGAAAGTCTGATGGAAGCAAGTCCAGCCAGAAGAACAGAAGCAAAAAGGATGGTAGAAGGGCAGACTGACTTACAGAATAGCAGATGAAAGGTAAGCATGTATGGAAGGACAGAAAGACAAGGTGAAGATGGACAGAAGGAAGTACAGATATAGAGTCACACCAAAGAATGAATGCAAGGAAGGAAAGATGATAGAAGGATGGACAGAAAAAGCTGGACAGATGGAAGTAAGGCAGGAGGGAAGAATGGACAGAGGGTGGGACAGAAGAATGGATGAATGAACAAAAGGGAAGAGTGACAACTGGAAGGACGGGCAGGAAGCCAGATGAAAGGATGGAAGGAGGGAAAAAGTGTGAGATGAAAAAATGGAAGGAATGAAAGGATGGATGGATGGAAGGTCACAGAATCATAGAATAACTGATGGGAGGGAAGATGGAGGGGTGCAATAACAGGACAGACATAAGGAAAGAAACAGGAACGAAGGAAATGATGGAAGGGTGGAAGGAAGGATGACTGATGGTAGGCAGGAAAGATGGATAGAACAGATGGATGCAGTAACAGGGACAGAAGAGAGGATGGACAGAAAATGGGAAGGAGGGATGGGGAAGAGGGGTGTAGTTCAGACAGAAGGATGAAAGGAATGACAACATGATGGAAAGAAAGATGAATGGGTGGAAAAACAATGGGTGGCAGGAGGGAAGGACACAGGAAGGAAGGAAAGGTACAGATGGATGGAAGGATAGCAGCAAGGAAGGCTGTATGGAAGGAAGTCAGACAGATGAAATGGACTGGCAGATGCAAAGCATGAAAGAATGGAAGTATGAAAAGACAAGTATGAAAGAAAGGACAAAATGGAGGAAGGTAGGAAGAAATAAAGATGGACAGGAGAAGGGAAAGACACAGAAGCACAGAGAGGAGGGATGGACAATTGCAAGGGAAGAAGCAAGGACCGAACAATGGAAGGAATAATGGATGGATGGAACAAAGGAATGACAGATGACTAGAAAGACAAGTAGAAGGAAGGATGGAAGGACAGAAAAAAGGGAGGATAGTGGAAGACAAAGATGGAATGAAGGGTGGTAAGGAAAAGTGGAAAATAAATGTAAAGACAGATGGACAAAAGGAGGGAAGGAAGGACCTGATGGATGGAAGAAGGGCAGTACGGGTGCAAGGAACAAAGGACGGAAGAAAAGAAGTAGGAATAGATGAAGGGAAGGATAGAAGATCAGAAGGAAAGACAGAAGGACAGAAGCAAGAAAAGGCAGATGAAAATAAAAGCTGACATAAGGCAGGCGAGAGATGGAAGGGTAGAAGGAGAACAGACTAAGGGAATGAGGATGTGGGGAAGGAAGGAAAGAATTGTAACAGAAGGATGGATGGTACGAAGGGTGGAAGGAGGCCGTCATGAAATGAGTGGTTTGGGGTTGCTCAAAGGATGACCATCAAAGGTACCGGTGAGAGCAGGTTTAATGATTTCTGCAGGCACAGCTGTTACATGGGTGTAGCATACACAGGAACACTGCTGTAAAACTGAGCTAAAACTGATTAATACTGAGAGCACATGCACGGGGTGGGGGGTGATGGGGGTCTCTGCACCCTCCTGTTGAGTCATGAGGGTCAGACTTGACCCCTCTTGCTGTGCCAACTCCTGATGGAGCCCAGGTGCAGCTGGGTCTAGTCTTAGTCTCAGACCTGGTCACGAGCTTACACCTGAAGGGTTACAGGTGTCATTTAGCAGCAGGTTGCAGTTTTAAGGTGGATCTTGGTCAACAGGATTCACTACAGCTGCTAGAACCGTGTGTACATGTGTACAGGTGCCTGTTGAAACTTCCCCTTGGACAGATGGACAGAGGATGAGTGGAATGATGAATGGAACAATGGATGGATGGAAAGTATAGATGAAAGGAAGAAAGGCCAGATGTATGGATGGACAGATGGAAAGGATGGGTGGATGGAAGGACACACTGAAGGAAGGGTGGGAAAACGAAGGCAGGAGGGACAAAAGGATGAATGGAGGTGATGGATGGAAGAAGGGATGGGAGACAGAATGGATGGAAGATACAGAAGGAAGGAAGAAATTAACTACAGGAAAGAATGGTGGATGGAGGGAAGGGAAGAACAGAAGGAATGACTGAGGGACAGATGGAAGTAAGAATGGTAGAGGGAAGTGAAGGAATGTAAGGACATAAGGAAGTTTGAGGATGGAAGGAAGAATGGAAGAGTGGAAAAAAGGATGGAAGGTTGGAAGGAGGAGAATACAGAAGGACAATGGGAAGCATGCAAGGACAAAAGGAAGGAAAGCAAACTGGTTGTAATAATGGAAAGAAATGGAAGTAACCTGGAAGCAAGGAAGGACATGGGATGCAAGACGGGTGTATAAAAGGAGCGAAGGATGGAAAGAAGAATGAGAGGACGAATGGACAGCCAAAAGCACGGTCAGATGGAAGGACACATGGAAAGAATGAAGCAAGGATGGCAGACAGGAATAAACCATGGAAGGACAGACGAACAGGAGGGAGGGAGGACAAACGGAAACATGGGCAGAAAGAAGATGGAGGAAGAATGGAAGGAAGGATAAAAGAACCAATGTAAGAAAAAAGGGCAAATGGAGGGAAAAATGGAAGGACAGGATGGAGGGAAGGAGGGGAAGGAAGGAAAGAGAAAGAAGGGAACCTGTTGTTTAGCATGTGAACCCTGTACATCCTGCACCACTCCAGCCCGATGACAGCACAGGAGATGCTCTTGTTCGTGATGTGATCCTTCCAGATGACCTAAGAGAGTCTGTGCCCTGAGCTGCGAGTAGGTTAAGATGAATCATTTCAACTTTTCTCACTACTCTCATTCTGTGTTGCACTGACAAACATTCTCAGCCATTAACAAAGGCACAGTGTTAGTGGGAAGGTTGTGCAAGTGTGCCATGAGAGGCACTTCCTTCCTCTTGCATAGTGCTACTCTGCAATTGTTTCAGGAGAGAACAAGCCAGACATTTACATTACTTTCCCCAATAAAACCAGACCTTGGCAGTCATTAGCAAGCCACCCATGAGAGCTGGTGCCAGAGCAGTTAAGGCAAGTTTTGCAAAGGACAGTTTGGATCGGGGCCTGAACAGCTTCAACATGCTTTTAAAATACTCACTGTAATTCATCTGATGGGTGGTCTGGGAGAGCAGGAGTGACTGAGCTGCCTCGGCACCGAGCCTGCTCTGGAGAGTTTGGTTTAGTTCTCAGGTCAGCCACAGGCTGAACTACTGGACATGACATGAGCCCTCTTTTCCCTCTCTAACAAGAGATTATCACTTCGGTTCCTCACACTGGCAAGGAAAGACAGAATTCATTAACCTCTGGGTGTTCTCAGGTACTCTGATTGCAAAGTCACACACAAATGACAGTATAAAGTAGTGGGTTGGTCTAAGAGTTTACACAGCATGCAATATCCACATTAAAACAAGCAGCTGGTAGTAGATGTGGTAGTGGTATCTGGGAGGAACTTGAATACCCACAAGCTCCTTCACTTAACATTTGCTCATTTGTGTTTGGTTATGTCAGAGACACGCTGTAGCTGTGGATCATCACAGTTCTTTATAACAACAATCCATAGAATTATAATCTATACAATTATGATCCATAATTCTCTATAATCACAATTTAATTTCATCACACCCACTTCCTGCAGACATTTTGCTGTCAACAGACAGAAGAAGAAAGTGCTTTGGAACCCACATGCCAAGTTTGCAGTTATCAGAAGCCAAAGTACCTGCTGGGGTGAGGACGGTCCCCAGGCACTGATCCAGAAACCCCTCCAGCAACAGCTGGGGGAGCAGGGTCCTCCCCGTAAGGTGTTTGAACAGATCAAGCAATTTATCCAACACTAAAAAGGTGAACCTCCTTTTTCCAGTTTCTCCCCAGTCTCCATCCTCTTTAAATACAAAAGTGTTGAAATCCCAAACTCGTAATCTAATTAAACCTTGACCTTCGGCTCATTTCTGTCTCTGCTTTACGTTTTACAGTCAGGCAATGCCTGTGAATAGGTCAACTCAAAACGGGGAGCAGCACGTGGTAGGTCCAAACAGGAAACAGGACGAGCTCCTGTTTTATGTCAAGGACCACAGAAGGAAAAGCAGGTAAAGTGCCAGCATTAAAGAATGTTTTCTAAACATTTTCATTCCACTGATGACACTTTATACAGCAGTCTCTCTATTTCGGTTTTGCTCCCACTAATGACCTTCCAGTTCTGTGCTCTTACTTGAAACAGTAAGAATGAGCCCCTAAATAAACTAAACAAGCAAATACAAATGTCCAAGGGGATGCTCCTTGGCACATTCCTGCTGACTGCTCTGCCCTATGCCCAGAGAGCAGTGGCTGTTACAACCTCCACTGTGTGCACAGGTTTACACCGAATCACACACAATCGTGTTCCTCACACAAAACTATCACCCTTTCAAGCAAACCATGGAGCAAAGACTGGGGAAGCTCTACATCCATTCTGAGCCTTGCATGAGAAATCTGAAATGATTTACAAAGGAAAACTGTATCATGGAGACATAAACTGTGTGCATGCTCCATTTCACATCCTTGCATTCTTAGGTTAAACCCCCCAAGTCCTGGCCTGACCTCTACACCCACTGGCCACTCTCCTCATGAAGCTCCACGTGACCTGCAGTAATTCAGCTACATTTATTTTCAGTAGCTGATTTTCCCATTAAAGCCAATTAAATCTCTAACCTGACTTCATCCTGGGCATTGCTTCTCATTTTCAACATCCCGTGATTTCGCTGTCTCCCTGAAAGCACCACTCGGGGGGTTGCACGTGGGGGGATTGCAGCCCAATTCCCTTTTTAT